ATGCATAGTTGGTGTCTTCTGGAGAACTGCTCAGTCAGTTGGTCACAGAAGTGTTCTGTATTGCATGCAAATAGAAACAAAGTTTGTTTTAGCAGTCACTTACAATATGCTATGCAAGTTGCTAGGGATAATTGCTGACCAAGAAAGAGAAAGCCTTGACCTTGGACAGTCTAAAAGGGACATGGGGTGGCCAAGGTGGAAAACAAGGCTGAAGCAAAGTAAAACAAGCACAGACTAATTAATTCAGACAAAAATAAAGGGAATTGTCCAGAAACATACAGTCAAGTTACCCTGAATGACAGGTGTGAGAAAAACCCTGTTGTGGCCACAGTTGGAGCCTGGGTCCTTTGCACAGAGACTCGTGTAGGTCTTGATGAGATGGTAAGTGAATTACTCAGAGGGAGATGTAGTAGACAGTCTCTTTCCAGATGTCAGGAGTCAGACAGCTGTGGGACTTGGAGATGGCATCAAGGGTGGCCTGGGTGAAGTTCCCCAGGGTGGCCATGCAGCCCTGGGTGAGGTGTAGCAGTTGGCAATGCTAGCCATTAGCAGCTTCTTGGGTACAGAGACTGAGGTGATGCCAGTGCCTCTGGGGGCAGGAATGAGACACACCAGTACAGAGTCACAGCAGTCGGTCACCTTGCCAGGGACAGTGTGGGGCTTGCTGATCTTGTTGCCCCAGTTGGCTTGATATGGATCCTATTTGCTAAAAGCTGCTTGGGAATAGGAAGCGTTTCTGTTCCACCTCTGTAAACTGCCTGCAGGGAAATGTTATGAGCTAGATTGCAACTGTTTTGTGGCTGTTTAGTGATTTTTCCAGTTTCCTTTGTCTGCAACATCTGTGAACCAGATTATATTACTCCTGTAACTTCTGCAAGGCAGTGCCCAAATTTGGGAGTATGAGCTCTGCTGGGACCGCTGGTGTTAAAATCCTGAGTTTTCTTATTCTGAGTGGCTCTTGATTTCTCAGCAGTTGTTTTTTGAAACAGCTTCTCTGCATAGAGATGATGGAGAGCTTGGTCAGGATAATGGTCCCTTGGATGGCAGTAGCTACCTCGGAGCACTTCGCCCCAAACCAGCATGGCCATTGTAGTCCGAGCTCTTAAAACTCTTGGCATTTCCTGAGTAACAGAAGTGTTATTAACAATGGGTCCTTTTTTAAAAGAGAGATTTTTGCTATAGAGAGCATGTGTTAGCTGGGAAGACAGACAGAAAGTGAGAAATCTTCCCCCAGGTTATAGGCACACAGCAATCCCTTCTCTCCCATTATCTTCTTGGGTCTTGGGCATGCACACACATGCGTCTGAGTGAGTTTTTTGGCTTTTTTTTTTTTTAGAGAGAGAGAGAGACTTTTGCTATAGGGCTCATGTGCTAGCAGGAGGGACAGAGAGAAAGAGAAACAGGAAGGGAGAAATCATCTACTGGGAGTTGGACACAATGCAGTCCATTCTCCTCTCAGGATTTTGGGAATGCATGCAGATGCACCCAGTGTGAATTTTAAACCGCTGGGTCTGGGACTTGAACGGTGGTCAGCTACACAGGAGTCCAAAGACATAACCATTAGGGCATCTGCTGGTCCCAACAATGGGTCCTTTTTAATAACATCAGAGTTTGTGCTAATGAAGTGACTTAGGATAGGGCCCCAAAATAGCCTCAGGATAGGGCCAGTCACCAGAAAAAACAAGTAATTAGAGGATTAGATTTTGAAACTTTCAGTCCCATTCCCCAGCTTCCAGGAAAGAGGAAAGGGGAGAAGGCTGGAGATTAAGCTCTATGAAAACTCTTGAAAAAAATTTGACAGAGCTTCCAGTTTCCGAACACCTGAAGGTATTTGGACAGTGTCTCTGTGCCCATCCTTGTATTTTGCCCTTTGCTTTTCTTCATCTGGTTGCTTAACTGATCCTTTATAATAAACTGGTAAACATAAGTAAAGTGTTCTCTAAATTCTGTGAATCACCATAGCAATTATCAAATACTGGGGTGGGAAGAGGTTTGTGGGAAACCCAACCAATTGGTCAGAAACACAGGTCAAAATCTGAGACTTGTGATTGGTGTCTGAAGCGGAGACAGTCCTATAGAACTAACTCTTAACTCGGAGTCTCAGACACTATCTCTGGACAGACTGTGTCATAACTGAATTGAGTTCTACAATGCATAGTTGGTGTCTTCTGGAGAACTGCTCAGTCAGTTGGTCACAGAAGTGTTCTGTATTGCATGCAAATAGAAACAAAGTTTGTTTTAGCAGTCACTTACAATATGCTATGCAAGTTGCTAGGGATAATTGCTGACCAAGAAAGAGAAAGCCTTGACCTTGGACAGTCTAAAAGGGACATGGGGTGGCCAAGGTGGAAAACAAGGCTGAAGCAAAGTAAAACAAGCACAGACTAATTAATTCAGACAAAAATAAAGGGAATTGTCCAGAAACATACAGTCAAGTTACCCTGAATGACAGGTGTGAGAAAAACCCTGTTGTGGCCACAGTTGGAGCCTGGGTCCTTTGCACAGAGACTCGTGTAGGTCTTGATGAGATGGTAAGTGAATTACTCAGAGGGAGATGTAGTAGACAGTCTCTTTCCAGATGTCAGGAGTCAGACAGCTGTGGGACTTGGAGATGGCATCAAGGGTGGCCTGGGTGAAGTTCCCCAGGGTGGCCATGCAGCCCTGGGTGAGGTGTAGCAGTTGGCAATGCTAGCCATTAGCAGCTTCTTGGGTACAGAGACTGAGGTGATGCCAGTGCCTCTGGGGGCAGGAATGAGACACACCAGTACAGAGTCACAGCAGTCGGTCACCTTGCCAGGGACAGTGTGGGGCTTGCTGATCTTGTTGCCCCAGTTGGCTTGATATGGATCCTATTTGCTAAAAGCTGCTTGGGAATAGGAAGCGTTTCTGTTCCACCTCTGTAAACTGCCTGCAGGGAAATGTTATGAGCTAGATTGCAACTGTTTTGTGGCTGTTTAGTGATTTTTCCAGTTTCCTTTGTCTGCAACATCTGTGAACCAGATTATATTACTCCTGTAACTTCTGCAAGGCAGTGCCCAAATTTGGGAGTATGAGCTCTGCTGGGACCGCTGGTGTTAAAATCCTGAGTTTTCTTATTCTGAGTGGCTCTTGATTTCTCAGCAGTTGTTTTTTGAAACAGCTTCTCTGCATAGAGATGATGGAGAGCTTGGTCAGGATAATGGTCCCTTGGATGGCAGTAGCTACCTCGGAGCACTTCGCCCCAAACCAGCATGGCCATTGTAGTCCCCAATGGTAACAAACACCTTGAATCTGGTCTGCTGGCCAACACAAGTCTGCTTTTACACAGGCATAATCTTCAAACTTCATCCTAGAAAGACACCCCCCGGAAAAAAGTCAATAATCTCAGACTCTTTGATGGGCAGGGAAGAGAGCTATATCTCCTCCAGGGACTTGATCTTCATATCTTTGATCAGACATCCCAGCTTAGTGACTGGCATCCACTCCTTGTCCTTGCCTCTGAGAGCTTCACAGCCATGGCTCCAGCCCAACCACAACAGTGACCCCCAGCCCTGGGGGCAACTGCCCAAGCCTCTGTGGCCTCCCATCCCAGAGCCTTGAGGCTCCTAGGGCACCTGGGGGCCTCCAGGCCTTCCTGTTACATCAGCTTTATCCATCATTTGGTACTTTCTCAGAGAAGGATACACCTTAATCTTAAACCTCAGATAAGGGCTGAAGATAATTGTTTTGTTGTTTGATGGGTTTAGTCTACAGGATGATAAGGAAAAATTGGACTACAGTCCTTTCTTGTATTTTTGGAAAATGAAGGAACTCACATTCCAAGATAGGTCATCTTCAGCATACTTGATGGCTCTAGTTTCTTAACCTATCTCCTGGTCCTACATATTGAAGTACAGTCTTTTCCTGTATTTCAGGAAAATGAAGGAACTCACTTTCCAAGATGGGTCACCTTCAGCATACCTGGTAGCTCTATTCTCTTAAGCTATCTCCTGGTCCTATTTTGTCCTATTATTAAATTTCAGAGGTCAATACAGATGATAATATCACACGGTAAAGGTTCTAATGGAAGAAGTACAACATATTTTGAGAAGACAGGGAAAAGACTGAGGTAGGAGATAGGCTTGGGACATACAGTTAAGGTATATGGAAGATGGAAACACAGTAAGCTTTACCGAAAATGGAGTCACAGTGGCTAAGTTTAAACAAAGAGTTGACTGCTTTAAGGCTCAAAACAACTATAGTTAAGGGCAACTGTTTCTATTTGCTAACTACATTCTAAAAAAAGGTAACAGATCAATATGGTCTGCGGATGTCACAAAGAAGTGGCAATCAGCCACTTAGTGCAATAATAAATTACCCACACTACTGTAACTACTTTCTAGAGCCCACTTCCTTATCAGAGAGCTAGGTCGTTGCTCTGACTTCTGGATAAAAACCTCTCACTTTAGCTCCTCTTCAGCCACCCATACCGGGATCCTTCCCTGCCTATTTGTGAGTTTTCCTTTTCTAACTTTAATAAACTGCTTTGCTGCCCTCCCTGTGTCTGTTTCTCTAATTCTTCATGAGCACAAGACAACAACCTGGTCATCTCATGGTCCTAAATCTAGCACTGGTGTTGGGCCTGATCACCTCAATATCCTGCATCAAGATTGCGTTAGTCTACTAGTGCAGCCGTAAGAAAATACCACAGACTTGGTGGCTTAAACAACAAAAACTTATTTTATGATCTTTTTTTTTTTTTTTAAGAGGTTCTTGCTTTAAGACACATATGCTAGCTAGAGAGAGAGAGAGAGAAAGTGAGAAATCATCCCCCCAGGGGGGAAGGCCATTTCACAATCCCTTCTTCATTCTCCTCCCGGGATTTTGGGCATGCACACACCTGGCATGAGTTTGAAGCTACTGGGTCCAGGACATGAAGAGCAGTTGGCCATGTGGGAGTCCAGTCACTGTCTCTAACAAGAGTTTAATAATCTTTATTTTGGCTCTGTAAAAGGAGTGTTGTGGCCACAGTTGGAGCCTGGGTCCTTTGCACAGAGACTCGTGTAGGTCTTGATGAGATGGTAAGTGAATTACTCAGAGGGAGATGTAGTAGACAGTCTCTTTCCAGATGTCAGGAGTCAGACAGCTGTGGGACTTGGAGATGGCATCAAGGGTGGCCTGGGTGAAGTTCCCCAGGGTGGCCATGCAGCCCTGGGTGAGGTGTAGCAGTTGGCAATGCTAGCCATTAGCAGCTTCTTGGGTACAGAGACTGAGGTGATGCCAGTGCCTCTGGGGGCAGGAATGAGACACACCAGTACAGAGTCACAGCAGTCGGTCACCTTGCCAGGGACAGTGTGGGGCTTGCTGATCTTGTTGCCCCAGTTGGCTTGATATGGATCCTATTTGCTAAAAGCTGCTTGGGAATAGGAAGCGTTTCTGTTCCACCTCTGTAAACTGCCTGCAGGGAAATGTTATGAGCTAGATTGCAACTGTTTTGTGGCTGTTTAGTGATTTTTCCAGTTTCCTTTGTCTGCAACATCTGTGAACCAGATTATATTACTCCTGTAACTTCTGCAAGGCAGTGCCCAAATTTGGGAGTATGAGCTCTGCTGGGACCGCTGGTGTTAAAATCCTGAGTTTTCTTATTCTGAGTGGCTCTTGATTTCTCAGCAGTTGTTTTTTGAAACAGCTTCTCTGCATAGAGATGATGGAGAGCTTGGTCAGGATAATGGTCCCTTGGATGGCAGTAGCTACCTCGGAGCACTTCGCCCCAAACCAGCATGGCCATTGTAGTCCCCAATGGTAACAAACACCTTGAATCTGGTCTGCTGGCCAACACAAGTCTGCTTTTACACAGGCATAATCTTCAAACTTCATCCTAGAAAGACACCCCCCGGAAAAAAGTCAATAATCTCAGACTCTTTGATGGGCAGGGAAGAGAGCTATATCTCCTCCAGGGACTTGATCTTCATATCTTTGATCAGACATCCCAGCTTAGTGACTGGCATCCACTCCTTGTCCTTGCCTCTGAGAGCTTCACAGCCATGGCTCCAGCCCAACCACAACAGTGACCCCCAGCCCTGGGGGCAACTGCCCAAGCCTCTGTGGCCTCCCATCCCAGAGCCTTGAGGCTCCTAGGGCACCTGGGGGCCTCCAGGCCTTCCTGTTACATCAGCTTTATCCATCATTTGGTACTTTCTCAGAGAAGGATACACCTTAATCTTAAACCTCAGATAAGGGCTGAAGATAATTGTTTTGTTGTTTGATGGGTTTAGTCTACAGGATGATAAGGAAAAATTGGACTACAGTCCTTTCTTGTATTTTTGGAAAATGAAGGAACTCACATTCCAAGATAGGTCATCTTCAGCATACTTGATGGCTCTAGTTTCTTAACCTATCTCCTGGTCCTACATATTGAAGTACAGTCTTTTCCTGTATTTCAGGAAAATGAAGGAACTCACTTTCCAAGATGGGTCACCTTCAGCATACCTGGTAGCTCTATTCTCTTAAGCTATCTCCTGGTCCTATTTTGTCCTATTATTAAATTTCAGAGGTCAATACAGATGATAATATCACACGGTAAAGGTTCTAATGGAAGAAGTACAACATATTTTGAGAAGACAGGGAAAAGACTGAGGTAGGAGATAGGCTTGGGACATACAGTTAAGGTATATGGAAGATGGAAACACAGTAAGCTTTACCGAAAATGGAGTCACAGTGGCTAAGTTTAAACAAAGAGTTGACTGCTTTAAGGCTCAAAACAACTATAGTTAAGGGCAACTGTTTCTATTTGCTAACTACATTCTAAAAAAAGGTAACAGATCAATATGGTCTGCGGATGTCACAAAGAAGTGGCAATCAGCCACTTAGTGCAATAATAAATTACCCACACTACTGTAACTACTTTCTAGAGCCCACTTCCTTATCAGAGAGCTAGGTCGTTGCTCTGACTTCTGGATAAAAACCTCTCACTTTAGCTCCTCTTCAGCCACCCATACCGGGATCCTTCCCTGCCTATTTGTGAGTTTTCCTTTTCTAACTTTAATAAACTGCTTTGCTGCCCTCCCTGTGTCTGTTTCTCTAATTCTTCATGAGCACAAGACAACAACCTGGTCATCTCATGGTCCTAAATCTAGCACTGGTGTTGGGCCTGATCACCTCAATATCCTGCATCAAGATTGCGTTAGTCTACTAGTGCAGCCGTAAGAAAATACCACAGACTTGGTGGCTTAAACAACAAAAACTTATTTTATGATCTTTTTTTTTTTTTTTAAGAGGTTCTTGCTTTAAGACACATATGCTAGCTAGAGAGAGAGAGAGAGAAAGTGAGAAATCATCCCCCCAGGGGGGAAGGCCATTTCACAATCCCTTCTTCATTCTCCTCCCGGGATTTTGGGCATGCACACACCTGGCATGAGTTTGAAGCTACTGGGTCCAGGACATGAAGAGCAGTTGGCCATGTGGGAGTCCAGTCACATAACCACCGTGCCATACGCTAGCGCCTGTTTTCTTACAATTCTTCAGGCAAAAAGTCTAGATCAAGATGCCAGCAGGGTTAGTTTCTTCTGAGGTCTCTCTATTTGGCTTGCAGACAGCTGTCTTTTCTCTGTGTCCTTACATGACTCCGTGTAATCACACTCCTGAAATCTTCTCTATTAAAAGATATTTAGAAACTTTTTGCTAGAGGGTGCATGTGCTCGCTGGAGACACACATACACACAGAGAGAGAGAGAGAGAAAGAGAGAAACCATCCTGGGGAGTGGGGGAGGCCACATTACAATCCCTTCTCCTCCAGTATTCCTTCAGGATTGGGGGGCATGAATACACAAAAAACCGGTGTGAGTTTCAAGCCACTTGGTTTAAGACTTGAACCACAGTCAACCATGTGAAAGTCTAGCACCTTACCACTTATGCCACCTGCTGGCACTCTCTCTTTTTTTTTTTTTTTGGAGAGATTTTCGCTATAGGGCGCATGCGCTCACCAGACAGAGAGAGACATAGAGACAGAAAGCGAGAAATCACCCCCCAGGGGGGATGGTCACACCGCAATCCCTTCTCTATTCTCCTCTCGGGATCTTGGGCACACACGCACACGCGCCCGGCATGAGTTTTAAGCCACCGGGTCCGGGACGTGAACCACGGTCGACTACATGGGAGTCCAGCAACATAGCCATTACGCTAACTGCTGGTTCCCGGCACGCTCTTCTTATAATGACTGCAGTTCTAATGGACCAGGGGCCCACCTTATGACCTTATTTAACCTTAATGAACTCCTTGGAAGTATTTTAATTTGACCAGACACACACACACAGGGGTGGGGGGGCAGGTACGGCAGTGATAAAGCATGCCACCAGGTCCAGGACTCAAACCATGGTCAGCCATGTGGGAATGACCAGTGCCTTAACCACCATATCACTTGCTGATCCCCATGTTTCCTTCTTTCTTAACACTGAGTAATATAACATTGTGTGTATAGTTCTTTTTATTTATCATTCATCTATTGATTAACATTTGGATTGCTTACACATTTTGGCTATTGTGACCAAAGTAGTTATAAACAAGAATGTACAATGCTTTTTGCTTTTATTTAAGAAGCTTTGCTAAGTCATGTGCGAGTTAGTGAGCAAAAATACAGGTTAGAAGACTGTAGGTAATCCTCTCTCTTTCTCATTAACTCACTACACAATCTTAAATTATGTAACTCCATCAGTCTGTTGGGCCTCATGTAAGACGGAGAAATACATTCACAAAGTTGTAATAAAAGCAGGTGAAATAATGTGTATTAAAGCCCTATATCCAGGGGCCAGCAGAATCCTGGACCTGGTGACTTACCTTCTCACTTTCTCTCTCTTTCTCTCCATCTCTCTCTCTGGCTCTGTCCCTCTCTGGTCAAAATAAAATAAGTAAATGAATAAAGTTAAAAAAAGTAATTCTTTTTTTTTTTTTTTAAAGCCCTATATCCAAATACAGTCACATTGAGAGGACTTCAACATATGAATTTTGGGAGAACATAATCCAATTCATAATGGATTAATTTCCACAAAGAAGTATTATCCAAGGTAAGATCCAAAGTTTACATAGAATTTGCCAGAGAAAGAGTGGGGAGAAAAGTGTTTCAGAATGTGGTAAAGCCTGGTTAAAGATGAGAAATGAGATGATTTATAGCACATCAGGAAATGGAAAGCAGTTTCCAGATGAGTCTAAGAAGCTAAGCAGACAAACTTGGAAAGCCTTGGAATCATGTTAAAATCGGGGCTTTATCTCAGGGCAATAAGAAACTGGAAGCAGGAGAGTGGTGTAAAAATTTGCCTGATCACTTTGGCTGGGTGTGAAGAGTGAACTGAAAAATAGATGCCCTGGAGTTAGAAAGATAAATTTTAAAGCTGTTGTAGTTAAATAGGTAAGATAATAGTAGGGATAGAGAAAAGTATATATAGAAATATATTGCACTGAGAAATCTTTAGAACATAGACTCAACAGGATTTTCTAAGAGTCTGGGAAATAAGGACTAAAGTTTCTGAGCTGAGCAATGGGTGGAAAGTTGGTGCCATGCCCTGAGATAGGGAACAAAGAAGCAGATGGTGTGGGGCTCGAACTTGGGAGGTGGGGATGCTAAGCTCAGTTTTCATTATATTGAGTTATAGATGTGTGAGTCACACAAGTAAAGATGTTCACAGCCCTATCAGCTGTCTATTTTGATCCTTGTTTTCGAGATAAAAAGCAATAACAACAACTGAAATTTTAAGAGTTAAGTGAAGCAGGATCTATACCCAGGTTCACTTTACTTCAAGGGCCATGTTTGTTTTTTTGTTTTTTTGTTTGTTTGTTTTTTTTTAACTACAGTGCACAGAATTTTGTTCCAAAAACCTAAAAGTCAGATATATTTCAAAATTCAATACTTACTTTTTTTTTTTTGAGAGGGTTTTGCTATAGGGTGTGTGTGTTTGCCAGAAAGACAGAAACAGATAGACAGAAAGTGAGAAATCACACCCCAGGGAGGATGGCCACACCACAATCCCTTCTCTTCCAGTCTCCTCTCAGGGTCTTGGGCATGCATGCACATGTGCCCAGTGTGAGTATAAGTCACCAGATCCAGGACTCGAACTGCGGTCGACTACATGAGAGTCCAGAGATATAGCCATTACACCAACTGCTGGTCTCAATACTTACTAGTTTTTAGAAAGCTAATATAATGCCTACAATATAGAACAGGGACTGGGATAGTATCTTTTTTTTTTTTTTTTGGAGAGATTTTCGCTATAGGGCGTGTGCGCTCACCAGAGAGGGGGAGAGAGAGAGAGACATAGAGACAGAAAGTGAGAAATCACTCCCTGGGGAGGATGGTTACGCTGCAATCCCTTCTCCATTCTCCTCTCGGGATCTTGAGCATGCATGCATATGCACCCGGAGTGAGTTTTAAGTCACCGGGTCCAGGACGCAAACCGCGGTCGACTGCGTGAGAGTCCAGCGACATAGCCATTACGCTAACTGCTGGTTCCCAGTATCTTATATTTTTTTAGAGAGAGATTTTTGCTATTGGGCTTGTGTGCTCACTGGAGAGATAAAGAAACAGAAAGTGAAAAATCACCCCCTAGAGGGGATGGCCATGCTTCAATCCCTTCTCCATTATCCTCAGGGAATCTTGGGTACACACCCACACATGCCCGGCCTGAATTTTAGGCTGACTACATGGGAGTCCAGCAACGTAACCATTACAGCATCTGCTGGTCCTAAGGGAAAAAATCTTATAATCAAGCACATTCATAAATCTACAATGAATCATGTGAATATGAATAGTAAGTGGATAAAGAAGTACTATGAGTAGCCTTATGACAGTTCAGAATAGATTCTGCCACCAAATAAATTACATTAAAAAAACTTCAGCATTCAAGGTGTAATGGAATTTGGAATTGTGGATAATGGCATAGCTTTTTGGATAATGCAATGTCATGGAAGTCAGGGAATAGAGTTTCAAGGTGGAAACAGTGTCAAATATCACTGAAAAATGAGAGACAAGAATTGAAAAGTCATTAGAACTGGAGACTAAGAGGATAGTAGTGATATCTTCAGGGACATATCCCTTAATAGTACAAGTAATGAGAGAAGAAGTCAATCCTAAAGGGGTTAAAGAGTAATACAGACCCAGCCACTGTGGTGCAGAAGTAACACAAGTGCTCTGCAAGGCTAGAAGCCATACTGCTGACCACAGGGTCAGATCCTCATGTTAGCCTGAAAACACACTGGGCACAAACAAGAAGGTACCCATAGTCCCGAGGAGCTGGAGTTCTGGGAAAGGGGGTGATGGTGTGATGAGACTCCTTTGAGAGTTCTTCTCTCTCTTCTCTACCTGAAAAAAGTAGGACAATTTATATACTCAACAGAATGGCTAAAAAGACAAAAGTAACAAAGTATTAATAACTTAAAGTTAGGGGGAACCAGCAGTTAGCGTAATGGCTATGTCGCTGGACTCCCACGTAGTCGACCGCGTTTCGCGTCCCGGACCTGGTGGCTTAAGACTCACGCCAGGCATGTGTGCATGCGTGCCCTAGATCCCAAGAGGAGAATGGAGGAGAAGGGATTGTGGCATGACCATTCCCCCTGGGGGGTGATTTCTCGCTTTCTGTCTCTATGTTTCTCTCTGTCTGGCGAGGGCACGCGCCCTATAGCGAAAACCTCTCCAAAAACAAACAAACAAACAAAAAACAAAAAAACAAACTTAAAGTTAGTACAATTGTCATTCACTGCTGGTGGTAATATAAATGGGTATAAGCAGTTTAGAAAACTATCTGGCAATATCTACTAAAGCTGAACATAAACAGAACACATGATGCAGCAATTCCAGTCCTAGACATGTGCTCAGCAGAAATGTATGCACATATTTCCCCAAAATACATGTCCAAGAATGTGTTTTGAAAATATTAGCTTTATTTTAGAGAAGTGGTAGGTTTATTGATATTCATTACATCGTAAATTAATTAAAGATAAATTTGTAAGGACAATTGATGATAGTTGGTCATGTCCCAAGATTATATTTATTTAAGTCTATGCAATGAGGTTAAAAAAAAAAAAGGAAATGGTGTTAAGTTGTTAATCAAATGGCACGAGGTATAAATAAACTACCTATCCAAAAACAGGCTGTAATTATTTATAAAATTACAAATAACCTTTCTGTAAAATCCAATCACTATCATTTAATTAAGTAAGATGTTTGCTCTGTGATGAATGAAGAACTCAAGAGAATTCTGCAAATTATTCCAATATTCTGATTAAACATTTCCTATTGGCCTATTTCTCCTATTACTTTGCTCCCTTCCTCAAATCCCTGAACTAGAAGGGTGAGATAAACATGGCAATCATGCTGTGAAAGAATAGGAGTCCTGCAGATTTTAGAACTGGTGAGGATGAATTCAGCATGGAATAACCTAAGTGTCTAGCCAAAGCTGAAGTCTAGCCAGGCTCCACATATGCTGTGAAAATTCTCTGGCCACAATCCTGATGTCCTAACATCTGAGGTTGTATCATTCTTCCAGTTGCTTTTAGACCAAATGTCAACAGCATATGATGTAAACATGTCAAGGTAGAAGTATAAGGTATCTGTTGTATTTTCTTTTTCTTTCTTTTTCCTACTTACCTTCCCACCTTCCTATTTTTTTTACTTCCTGTCTTTTCTATCTCCTTTTCTTTCTTTTTAGTTCTTTGTTTTTGTTTTAGGAGGGGGTGCCACAATACCTACATAGTTTTGGTATTACAAAGAAATTTTCGCTCCAAGAAATTTCAGTTCCCTGGAAGGTAGGAAAAATATTTAAGAGACTACCTCAAAGTAAACAGTATAGTGAAGTTGAAAGAAAATTAAATTAGTGGTAACTTTTTTTTTTTGCCTGAGAACAGTTACTACAACTGTTCTCTTGAAGCCCTCACATGGCTTTTCATGTGCTAGTATCACTTAGGTGGGAGGGTGACACAGAGCATGGAAAGCAGAAGAGAGCGAATAGATTCACAGAGGCATTTAAAAATCTTGGCACCTGTGGAAAATACTTTTTAGAAGGAGGCTGGTAGCTTCTCTCATAGAAAACTTAAGAACAGTTACTGACTACTGTCTAATGACTTCAATAATTTCTTCCTTACCACTCAGTTTCTAAGTATCCTCTCCTCTATTTTTATTTAAAGGTTGTCATACTCTATCATTTTCTAATATCTTGTGATTTGCTTGACCTCATCTCAATATGTGATCACTCTATTTGAAATAGGGTCCAGATTGACTAACATTTTGCATCAAAGTGTCAGGGCACGAGGTAGGAGCTGGAAGCTTGAAGTCTGTATAATTGGGGGTGGGGAATGGTAATGACTGAAGAGGATTTAATTAAGATGTCTCAGTGTTAAAAAAGAAAATGTAAGCGAAAGGCGTTTTCCTTGTGCCTGACTCAGTGCAGACAACAGATAAGTTATTTCTTATTGATAGTGCACCAGTAGGATGATTAGGATTCTATAGAGCTCTCTTTTCTTTCCTTGCTTGAGAAACTAACCTTGTGTAAAGTTCACTGAATCACTGTCTTTATTTGACTGACTTTTCCCAGTGTCAGTTTACTGAATAAGAAAGCCTGCCCTGAAATTCTACTGTCCTTGGTCTTGCCTCTGTTGAACTTTGTTGAATAAAATGCCAGACTCCTGCCTAACTTGGCTTTATTCATCCTGGCTCATGTTGAAGCAATCGGACGACTTGGCTCTAGAGTCCAAGGAGTTTGAGCTTGTCGACCTCAAGGCTACCCTCCCCCTCTCTCACATAGCCTGTGCCTGCCCAGTCTTGTTTGTGAATAGTTCTTGGCAAATACCCTGGAGGAGAACAGAGCCACTAACAATAGCAACTCTCTTTTTAGCTGAATCTCAGTACTCAGGACTGTGAATTTAGGAAAACCCAAAATAACTTGTGTAAGTGCAGTGGGTCATCCTACCAACCTATTTTTACTATTCAAACATTGGAAATTATTCCAGTAGACATTTAGTGGTAGAAAAAGACTAGTGGGAAAAGAGCTGGGCTTATAGTCAAGACAGATCTAGATTCAAGACCTCGCTCAGCTATTTATCAATTTTATGATGCTGGAGAAGTCATGGATTTAAGTCTACTAGAACTGAATAAGCAAATATACATGTAAGTGTTTAGAAATCTACAAAGTGTTACACAAAGTTAAACCATTAGTATCGGGAAGTAAGGATAATTTGAAAGTTTCAGGAAAAGGGGTTAAGTTATATCTTCAAAACACTCTAAACAATCTGAAGCAAGATGGTGTTTACCTTCTGCTCAACACCATGCTCTGCCTTAAAAACAACCAAAACTGGGGTCAGCAGGTGGCACAGTGGTAAGGTGCTAGACTCCCACATGGCAGACAGAAGTTTGAGTCCTGACCTGGCAGCTTGGAATTCACTTTGGGCACGTGTATGCGTGCCCAAAATCCTGAGAAGAGAATAGAGAAGAGATTGTGGCATGGTCACCCCCGCCCCCTTGTGTGTGTGTATGTGTGTGTGTGGGGGGTGTCTCGATTTCTGTCTCTCCAGCAAGTACATACCCAATAGCAAAAATACCTCAAAACAAAACAAAGCTGTAATTAGTCTCTGTTTAAAGTTAAAGCAATCTACCCTTCTAATTATGATAAAGTTGGAAACAAGAGAGGTACTTAACAGATCCTTTTATATCAAGGAATGACAACAGGAATTCTTATACCTACTAAGTACAGGAAAGACAAGTGGCCATCACTTACATGCTAGCTATGCTGACAAACTGCTTTTCTCTGAAGTTAAGCCACTTAAAATTTTATTTCATATACAGTGAAATGGGTGGTTCTTCAGACTTAAGCATGTACTTGTCCTATATTACTCATGTGCACACATAAAAAGGAAAACAAGTGAAAGAAAGCTGGTTAAAGTATTTCTAAGGCAATAACAACTTGATCACAGCTGTCACCTGGCCAAGAGTGACCATATGATCATCTGATCTCAATGTTGGGAAAACAGGAAATCTTACAACAGTAATCACTCATTGATCTATCACCCTGCTTAGCTACAAAACAGTTCTGTGCACTGCTTCAACCTCCTGATACACCTCCACATCTTGTCTCTTTCCTACCTCAGAAACAACAGCTTGCCTTTGAGTTTATCATTCCCTCATTTCCTCTCCTGATTTACCACATATATACCCTAACCACCACACTGTTATTGTTTACAACTCTGTCAATAAATGGGAACTCAGGACCAGCAGTTAGCATAATGGCTATGTCGCTGGACTCCCATGTAGTCCACTGTGATTGGCGTCCAGGACCCCGTGGCTTGAAATTCATGCCGGGTGCGTGTGCGTGCGTGCCCAGGATCCTGAGAGGAGAATGGAGGAGAAGGGATTGCGGCGTGGCCATCCCCCCCTGGGGGGCGATTTCTTGCTTTCTGTCTCTCGGTCACTCTCTGTCTCTCTGGTGAGCACACACACCCTGTAGCAAAAACCTCTCCAAAATAAATAAATAAAAATAAATGGGAACGCTATCCATTTGTGTCATAGATGGCCTCATAGTACTACATAAAGCAATTGGGTTTGTTTATTTATTTATTTATTTATTTATTTATTTTTAAAATTCTCTATAAGGCACGGTGTTCTACAGAGACAGGGAAACAGAAAAACAGAAAGCACCACCTTTTCTCCTACCCCGAAGAGGGAACCACTTCTAGGCAATCTCTTCTCAATTCTCCTCTCAGGATTCTGGGCACCCATGCAAAGGCACCCACCAGGTCAGGAGGGCAAATGCATAAATCACGACTGTCAATCAACTCTACGACCATAAAGAGCCTACCATAGTGGTTCAGCAAATAATTAACTGCTAAATTAGTGAAGTATTACATTTGCTTTTCTGTGATCCATATATTGTTTTTTTTTTGAGAGATTTTCACTGTAGGGCGTGTGCGCTTGCCAGACAGACAGAGAGAGACATAGAGACAGAAAGCGAGAAATCACCCCCCAGGGGGGATGGTCACGCGGCAATCCCTTCTCCTCCATTCTCCTCTGGGGATCTTGGGCATGCACGCACACGCGCCCGGCGTGAGTTTTAAGCCACCGGGTCTAGGACGCAAACTGCAGTCGACTACGTGGGAGTCCAGCAACATAGCCATTACGCTAACTGCTGGTTCCCCCATATATTGTTTTAACTCGTTTGTAAGCAACTTGAAGGCCAAGCCCTCATTCACGTTGCTCAATGTGAGAGTGCTGTGGTGGAGTCTAGTCCAGGGCCTAGCCTATTGCTCAAATCTTCGTGAGAAACAAAACAAAAACCAGATAAAATTGGCAATGGGAGTGCAAGAAGGCGTATAAATAAGCAGAGTGGGTGGGGGGAAATGGGAGACTGACGCCAGAAATAGAAAGGGCCATTTTAAATTACCAACACAGGGAGGTGCCTCCTCACGTGACGTTCAGAGCAGCCAAGAAGCTTTAGAAACGCTTCTCGCGAGAGGAAAGCTCGACCGCACGCAAGCGTACTGCACAGCCAAGGCCCCGCCTTCCCTGAGCCCCACCCACTCCCTGTTCTCCCACCTCGCGCCAGCCAACCGTGCGCGTGATGTCATGGCGCCGTGCGTGGTCGCGGCGGCGGCGCAGGGGGCGGGTCCGTGGCGCGGCGCCGGAGGAGGAAGTGGTGTGGTTGTTACTCCCTTTGCGCCCACCGCTCGCTCCCCGGGCGCGGAGACGGGTCGCAGTCTCTGCTGCTGCGTCGCGCTCACCTCCTCTTCCCCTCCATGTTCCCTGGCGCCGCTGTTCCCCTTCCTCAGGCCGCCGCTTACCCGGAGGTCTATGGAAGTAATGGAAGGACCCCTCAATCTGGTGAGTGGCCCAGAGAGGCTCGCGTCCGACCTAAGTGCCGTAGCCTCGGGAGTCCGGGTTCGTCCTGGTCAGGCAGGCTGCTCCCTTGAGGCTGGGAGGCCGGTTTGGCGGAGGTGGTTGAAGAGCCTGGCAGGCCCTGGCTCCACAGTGGCTCTGGTCAAACCGCCCCAGACTTTTCCCTCCTCGGGGGTCTCTGGGAAGCTCCTGCCCCTCCGGTCGCCCCCTGCCTCAGGGTCCCGGGCAAGGGGCTGCTACCAGCCGGGGCCGCCACCTCTCTTCTGGCCGGGGGCAGTGCCTTCAGGCGCCACGTCGTCACCTGCCTGCAGCCTGGAGAAACATCTGAAGCTGGTCAGGACAGAAACGTTGTGTAATTCTGGTTTTAACTTTTGACATTGGGGGCCCGGGTCCAAGAAGCATTCCAAGATGGAATATTATCTCCTCTTACCCCCATTTGTCTCCTCACTCATTTTTGGCATCCGTTCAGATGCATAACCTGATAACATCTCTTTTCCCCGAATATATTAAGAGACCCTGGGAAGAGAGCCGTTTAGTTTGGTTTCTTCACTTGAGGTATCACGAAAGTATAGTAGATGTTTGTCCTTAGTAAAAGTCCTCAACTGTGTTTTTAGGCATTTTGGGGGTTACTATTAGAAGAACAGGAAACAAAACCTATCATCCAGAAGAAACACAAGTCTTTACAGACTAGCCATTGTGTCTTTTGCTTTCTCTGTGAGGATACCCATTTTGGATACAAGTCAGATTAGTTAAAAGTTGAAGACAGGAAGAACTTTTAAGTCACTGGTTCGCAGTTCATTTGTGATGGTGGGATTGGAACAAGAAATCGTATTTATAGAGGATTAGTTCCTCACATTAGAACTCTGAACCCTAGTGTCTGGAAGAGCCCTGAACTGGTTCAAACCACTCTATAGAGAAACAGTAGAGCTGGTGGTTTAACAGTCTATGTTCTGGAACCAGATTGCTTGAATTTGAATTCTGGCTTTGTCACTTAATAGTTGTGTGACCTTGGGCAAAGTACTTGTCCTCTTTTAGGTTTGTTGTGAGGATTAAAGAGTAAATAGCTGTGAAGCGCTTAGTACTTTACCTAGTACATAGTACAATGTAAGAGTTATCTATTATAACTAGACCAGAAACCCTTAACTTAGAATCTTACTTGTAAACTTCAGTTATACAAGTAACTAGTTGAACTTTGAAAGCCTAAGATTCTAAGACCTTAAAGCTGTGATTCTTAATCACTAGTGCCAGGCTAGCCACTCTGAGAAGGCCTCACTGTTTTGTTAATTTGGGCCCTACCCCTATCTGTCAGTTGTTAATATTTAAGAAGAATTTGGCTATGTTTGAGTTTTTAAAAACCAGGGAAATATCTTTCACTTTTTTGTTTTTAAGGTTGTACTGAAATATAATAGATTGCTCAGTACTAAAACTTGACAGAAATATTGTTGGAAATAACCAACTGCTTATAAAGTGCTTCAAAGTCCGTGTGTCCTTCCAAAATGACTATTGGTTCAGTTTCAGTAAGCTTCACTTTATTTGGCTGCAGACTGCAACGTACCTAGCCACCTGTCCCACAAGTGTGTGGTAGTTATGAGAAGACAAACTGGGCGACAGTAGATGGAACAGCAGAATCATCTGCATAGGAAAAACTAGTTAAATTGTGGCAACAGTATTTTTATAGAAGGAGAATTTTTAAAAGAATCGTATTTAAAAAAAAATTGTATTAATCAGGCTAGCATAATTCCATAATCTAGCCATAAAATTTATGTGGATGATTACAAGAAATTTGGCATCTTGAATTTTTAAGCCATTTAAGATTTGAAAGATCTTATTTCCAGCCTGGCTGGTTTTTTTTTTTTTTTTTTTTTTTTTTTTTTAAGATAGCAATGGAACAGAGATTTACATTTATTTTAATGATTATAACTGTGCTGCTAAGTACCAGTGACAGGCCTCTATCACTCAGAGTATTAGAAAATTGGATTTTTTTTTTTTGAAAACTGTCATATTCTTGTTATGTCAGGAGACACCTAGTATCTAGTTGAATGAACTTGAGAGTTATCAGTGCTATGATTTTATTTTATTTTATTTGTCTGTTGCTAGGGCACTTGCCAGAGGGAGGAGAGTAAACACACCCCACCCCCCCAGTGAATGGTCACATCACAATCCCATCTCATCCCTTTCTCCCTCCTGCTGGATCTGGGACTAGAACTACAGTCAGCCATGTGGAATCCAGCTGCCTTAACTACCAGGCCACTGAGCCAGCCCTCAGTGCTGTGATTTAAAAATCCCACAGTATATACAAAGTGTGCCTTTGAAAATCCCACTAGTATATACAAGCTTTATCTAATGGCATCATAGTCTGGTTCAAAATCATTAAGGACATGATAGTACATGGATTTATAAAGTCCTCAGAGCATCCTTGGAATTACGTAAGAACTATTGGGTCCTCAGGAAAGTCATGACATAGTTTTCTGTGTTTTTCTATGCAAAAATGCTTCATGACTTTTCCAATGACTCAATATTTCTCAGTTTGAAAAAAATGAATTGTGTAGGTCAGGGACTCAAACTTTTGTGGATTACAGATTATTTTTATATGATTTCTTTTATCAATGTTTTCCAATTAATGTACTCATCATTTTTATTTCAATGTGGTCTTTATGTCTGTTGAATTGTAGATTCTGTCAGCTTTTAGTGCCTCTGCTCTACCTCTGCTCTACTTTTCTTTTTTAGTTTGTCTTTTTTTGTTGTTCCCTCCCTCCCCCCCAATCAGGCACAGGTGCTCCTGGAAGAAGGAGGCAGAGAGAGAGAGAGAGAGAGAGAAATTAAGAAATCACACTCCCCACCCCTGGGAGGATGGCCACACCACAATCCCCTCTTCATTCTCTTCTCAATTTTTTTTTTTTTTTAAGCACACATACACACATGCCTGGTGTGTTTTTCAGGCTCCTAGCTCAGGACTCCAGCAGCAGGGTCTGTCCTGTGGGATCCAGCTTCTACCCACTATGCCACCTACTGGCCCCAACCTCTGTTCTACTTTTGATTCTTTTATTGCAGAAGGACCTATATAGGCATATTTCCTCACTGAATTTTTTAGATAGGAAGAGACTAGTTTAAAATATTTTAATGTGTAGTACTCTTCATGCCTTCTAGTTCTCTCATTTTAGAATCTTTTCTAAGGAAAAATATAACTTGTACTATCAGTGAGGAAAAAAATAGCTAGTCTTTGATCTCAAAATATGTTGTTTCATCAGTATTTTTCTTTCACTTTTTAATATGGAAGGATTGTAACTTAACAAAATTACTTAGTGCTTATTTAGGCATTTCTTTCATTGCATTTATTTTTGGCAATTTGAGTGCTGGTAGCACAAGTCCAGACTTGTGTGTGAGATAATTTCTCGTTCTTTGGCATGTTTGCTGCCAATTTAGGAAGTGATGTCAGATCTTAATTTATATGTGACTGTGCTCATGCTTTGCTTACTTACTCTGCAAAGGACAGGATCTATGTGACTACATGGCCACAGTTTTTTTACAGGCTTGGCCCATAAGAATGCTAAGGCTATGTTTGTTGAGTAACTTCCTCTAGAGTGGTTGGTTCTCACATCACAGTGGTAAATGAAGCTCTTGCTTACAAACTTCTCATCTAAGAAAAAAATTAGATACCATGGCTGAAGGAATGGCTTTGTACATACTTGGAGTCTTTCTAATCATTCCATGTTATTTATATTGGCAGTAAAATCTTCAAGGTAAAAAGAGGCTTGAAAAATTCCAAAGAAAATGTATCCTATGTCACAAGCTACGCTTGGCTTAACTGAAGCATTCTGGGGAAAGGCGATGGTGCAGTGAAATATGTCTAATGTTTCTAAGTGCTGAGGTTGGTAACAGATGCATTACCTATGTTATTTATCTTGTCTATATGAGATGGTCCCCCGCCCCCATTATTTTACGGTTGACTTTGAAATGTAGCATAAGTGATGATACAGGATTTTTTGTTCTGTTTTGTTTTGAGAGATTTTTGCTATAGGGTGCATGCAGTCATCAGAACGGCCAGCAGAAAGGGAGAAATAATCCCACTGGAGGGGATGGCCACGCTGCAGTCCCCTCTCCTCCATTCTCCTCTCCGGGTTTTGGGCACACATGCACATGTGAATGCCCTGCGTGAGTTTTAAGCCGCCGGGTCAGGAACTCAAACCGCGTGGGAGTCCAGCAATGTAGGCATTACACCATCTGCTGGTCCCTTTGATATGAGATTTGAAAGCAAGATTCTTGGTTTTTTTAAGAGATTTTTGCTACAGGGCGCGTGCGCTCGCCAGACAGACAGAGAGAGACATCGAGACAGAAAACGAGAAATCACCCCCCAGGGGGGATGGTCACGCCGCAATCCCTTTTCCTCCATTTTCCTCTCGGGATCTTGGGCGGGCACGCACGCACACGCGCCCGGTGTGAGTTTTAAGCCACCGAGACCGGGACTTGAACTGTGGTCGACTACATGGGAGTCCAGCGACATAGCCATTATGCTAACTGCTGGTTCCTGAAAGCAAGATTCTTAAAAACAAAACAAAAACAACAACAACAAAAAAAAATGGTCTTTCTGTTAAATCATGTTTACTTATCTGTTTGGACTATGATCTACAATGAGGGATTTTTACAGAATGGCAAATACACATGCTACTGCAGAGCTACTACTTTATGGAAGGTGCCTCTTGAAATTGTGCAAAAAATGCAGAGACCCTCATCAATTTATCAAAAAACAGAAAGACTAAAACTTTCGTTGTCTCTATATGATACATTAAACATTTACTTGTAGATTTAGAACAAAAATAATGCTGTTATAACCTGCTAAATTGAACTAACTAAACTGGAAGCTCAAGGGGAAAAAAAGATGCAGGCAGAGCTGCATCTGGAAATTAATCCTTAGGCTTAAAGTGAAAAAGAGGTCTCCCTAGAATTCTCCAATACCTTAGCGTTTGTCTTAAGTTTAATTGCATCAT